CCTTAAAAATCCAACTTTTAAAAGAGGGCTGCTTTTCTAATATTTTATTTATTTCTACATTTTTAATTAAAATTCTAATAGCTTCAGAAAAGCTCCAGTGAATTTGCATTAGTTTTCACAGAAAAACTTTGACACTAGTTACATCTTTATAGCATAAATATATTTTGTTCCAGAAATAATAATTTAAAAATTATATTTTACTTAAGATAAGATTCTAATCTGTAGATTTTCTTTAATGTAGGAATTACAATGTCATTAGAAACACTGAGTAATATTTCTTAAAATTTAATTTGGGGTGATGGTTAATTTAAAAAATGAAAAAAGAGTAAGAAATGGATGAAAGGATTCTAGAAAAATCTAAAAGACATGCTATTAATGTTCCTTATTCGTTAATAACTTTGAGGCTTGATGAAGATGTTCAGGCAAATTTTTGTAGCTATATATCCTGGATTGAAGAGAAGATAAAGAAAAAATTAAATGAATTTCTTAAGCCCTCAGCCCTGACCACACCTCTGGCTCTGAGATGTGGTCACCCTGCTGGATTTGGACCTAGATGCCAAAGGCTGTGCTCTAAACTTGGTTCTAAGAAGTTCCAACTCTGAAGTTATCTAACACTTGCAACAAGTTTTTGTTAGAAGCTTTTGTTGTTATTAAATAAGTTAATTTTTGCAGTATTCCTGAAAAAGTACAAGTTATATGTGACAGGTAACTGTCTATTCAATACAGTAAAAATCAAACAGAAGGAAGTCAGAGAAATTAAAAAGGACAGAAAAGGAGTGAAGGAGCCGAAGTGAAGCATGACACGCAGAGAAGGGGATTTTTGCCCTCTGAACAAGTGCGATGAAGAAAACAAAAGCAACAGAGGAACTGCTAAGTTGGTTGCCTCTTGGCCCCGGTGCCATTTCCCTCCCTGTACACCTACCGCTTAGGACTAACACCAGTGTGCTCTAAAATCAACTGCTAGACTTGTAAATGGCCATTTAAGAATCAATTCCTCCCCAGAGGAAAAAAAAATTGTACATTTGTATTTTTTAGGCAGATGGAAATTAGTATATATTTAGCCTCTAGTTTAAGTGGCCTAACAGGAAAAAATTCCTATAGGTTATAGCATGGATATGAGTGGTGACTGCTAGTATTATTCACAGCAAATTGATCTGCAGTCTCTAGAAAAACATGTTTAAGGGCTGTAGTTTAAGATTCAGAGTATTTATCAGCCTCAGGCATAGACTTAGTCATGTATGATTTGGTCTGTGCAAAAGTAAACAATGGAAAACTAGGCTGTTTGTTGGCTTCCATCAAGATTTGGGCGAAAAAAAGCTATAAACACAATTAGAGAGAAGCCAGATGCTTAAGGAGGATGACAGAATAAATACTTCTCCAGTAAACTCTCAACAGAACGTTAAAAACGGGGCTTTCTTAAGAAAAAAAAAGAAGTTATACTTTAAATTAGACAACTTTTTTAAATTAGTTAGCTGAAACGTCAGAGTTAGCACATTTCTCACAATACTGTTCTTTTTCCCTTCTTAAGAGTTTCTGATATTTTGGCTCATTCAGTACACACTTGGGTCCATTTTTCAGATTGTGCTGAATCCCCATTACAGATTGAAATGCCCTTCAATTTTATACAGAGAAATGTAGTCTGTGAGGGGCCGTAATTCACTAGTCCTTAACCACTCCTGGTATAAGGAGTCCTTGACTGAGAGCCAGCTCTGAGAACTCAGAGGTCGGCTTGCTGACATTCCCTGCAGCTGCTGGAATTCAGCTGACTTAGTTTGACTCTTTACTCTTCATGGAAAGATTGCTTTGTCTTAGTCATCCAGTTGGAACAGTTGTTTCACAGTAAGAAAAATTTCCAAAAAATTAATACTCATTTCAATAACCAAAATGGATGTGGAGAACACAGCTCTGCTTCTACCAAGACATCATCTAATAAGAGAGAATGTTTTGCTAAATACACTTATGTGAAAGATACAGAATGTTTTACATGTGTTCATCATTGAATTATATTTTATTTAATTCAATAAAAGTTGACTTACATTGGTTTATGTTAAACAGGAAAAAATATTTAATTTTTGCCTAGCAGAATATATTTGTTGTAATAGTGATTAAAAACAACAGTATTCTCCCAGGGATTTAGCTCAGTGGTTCAGACACCTGCCTTACAAGCCCAAGGACCCACGTTCAATCCTTGGTACCAAAAAAAAAAGCCAAAAAAACCACAAACAGTATTTTCTTTTATCTCTTTTTTCAGAGTACTGTAGCCTTCAATTTAAAGGTCGTTTACTTCCTTCCTTAGATTGATTCCTAAGTATTTCATTTTATTTGATGCCTTTGTGAAATGTGAGGTTTCCTTAATTTCTCTCTCAGTGAGTCTGTTACTTGTGTACAGGAAAACTATTGATTTTTGAGTGTTGACTTTGTATCCAGCTATGGTGTTGAATTTGGTTATTAAACCTAGAAGTCTTTTAGTGGAGTTTTGGGGTCTTCTACGTAGAGTATCATGTCATCTGCAAATAATATTTTAACTTCTTTCTTTCCTACTCCTATTCCTTGTATTTCTTTCTCTTGTCTAATTGTTCTGGCTAATGTTTCCAGAGCCATATGGAATAAGAGTGGTGATAGTAGACATCTTTGTCTTGTTCCTGATTTTAGAGTGAAAGCTTTCAGTTTTTGACCACTTAGTATAATGTTAGTTTGTCATAGATGGCTTAGGGTTAGGGTTTGGGTTAGGATTGGGGTTAGGATTAGGGTTAGATTTAATGCAATCTCAATCTAATTACCAACAGCATACCTCACAGAATTAGACAAAACAATCCTAAAATTTATTTGGAAACTGAAGAGACCTAGAATAGCAAAAGCAATTCTGGGTAACAAAAGCAAGGCTGAGGGCATCACAATCTTTGACTTGAAATTATAATACAAAATACCATGATAAAAACAGCATAGCACTGCCAAAACAAAACAAAACAAAAAACAGACCTGAGGATCATTGGAACGGATTAGAAGATAGAGAAATAACTCCAAATACACTCAGCCACTTTATCTTTGACAATGGAGCAAAACATCTACAGTGGAAGAAAGAGAGCCTCTTTAATAAATGGTGCTGGGAAAATTGGCTTCCCAAGTACTGAAGATTAGCTAGACCCATATCTCTCACCATGGACTAAACTAAAATCAAAATGGATCAAAGACCTAAATTTTAAAACATAAACCTTAAATGTATTGAAAGATAGAATAGTAGAATTCTTGAAGATATATGTGTAGGCAAAGACTTTATGAACAAAACTCTGATCACACAAGAAATAACACAAATATTCAACAAATAGGATCTCATTTTATTAAAGAACATTTGCACAGCAAAAGAAACCACCAAGAGAGTGAAGGAAAAACCCACAGAGTAGGAAAAAATTTTGCCAGCTGTTCCTCAGACAAACGACTAATATCTAGAATATATAAAGAACTCAAAAAATCAGACTCCCTAAACTTAAAGGGCATCTGAAATGATTAGACATTAGACTTCTCAGATGAAGAAATACAAATGGCAAATAAATATATGAAAAAATGTTCAACATCACTGGTCATTCGAGGGATGCAAATTAAAACAACACTGAGATTTCATCTCACTCCAGAAAAAAATGGCTATCATCAAGAAATCGACCAATAACAAATGCTGGCAGGGGTGCTGAGAAAAAGTTACCCTTCTCCATTGTTGGTGGGAGTATAGACCGGTGCAACCACTGTGGAAATCAGTGTGGAGATTCCTCAAAAAACTAAAACTAGAGGTTCCATTTGATTTGACTATTCTCCTTTTTGGTATCTCCTGAAAGAATTAAAAGCATCATACCACAGCAATATATGCACACCCATTTTTATAGCAGCACAATTTATAATAGCTAAATCTTCAACACAGCCCAAATGCCCATCAACAGATGAATGAATAAAGAAGATGTGGCATTTTCATACAATGTAGTACTACTCTGTTATAAAGAAGGATAAACTTGAAACATTTATAGGTAAATGGACGCACCTTGAGACCATACTCCTAAGTGAAATAGATGGAGCACATGTGTTTAAATATTGCATCGTTTCTTTGGTATGAGAAACTGAAAGTGTAAATAAGGACCAAAATGCATAATAGATATTGGGAAATGGGAAGAAAATGTTCAGATTGGAAAAGGAACAAGGGAGGGGAGAGGGGGAAAAGAAGATAGGGAAAAGCAAAAAAGAGAATAGAAGAAAACATGAAAACAAAACTTTTGTAAATAAGGAAAGGAAGAGAGGTTGAAGGAAGGGGAGGGGATTGGGGAAGAAAAAGGAAGAATCAAGATGCATTGTGTATAGGCACAAATTCCCTATGATGAATGTGATCACTATGTATATCTAAAATGTACCAATAAAAATTTTAAAAAACAACAGTATTTACATGACAAAAGTTTACTTTGAACTAAATGCTGCCATTCTGTATTTGGTATTTGTAGTTTGTAATGTATGAAAATTATGAAGGCAATAATAAAGCTCCTAGACATCGTCATTGTTCAGTAACAGGGGTTTCACATGACCCACACTCTTAATGTTTCTTGCCATTCAGCAATGTTTGTGACAAAGGAATAAGTCAGTATTTAAGGCTTTTAAATACTTTTTATTGATATCCTCCTCCTTTCCCTTGGCTTGGTCCAATTGCCTCACTTCAAAATTCAGCTCTTCTGTGTTTCAAGTTTTTATATCCCTGCCTATTTAATGACCCATTATTTAATCAACTCATTTCACCAAAGGCCATGTAAACATGAAATTCAAGGACAAACATCAATACATTTTCAAGGCTCTTAATCACTTAAGGGTGATGTATTTCAGGTCATTTTGATTAGTTTCAGAAGTAGTTATGTCAGTGGATCTTTTTGGAAGTGTCCCCAATTAACCCATGAATATGGTACAAGTTTGATTACATGTTTTATTTGGTTTGCAACTCTTCACCATAGCATTAGACATAAAAAAAATCTCACCTCAACAGCAACGTCTCCAGTTTTTCCTCGGTGAGGAATTTCATATGCTTCCATCTGTTGCTTTGTGAGCCGTACTAACTTTTCAGCAAGTTCCCTCCACCCATTGCCAACCTTGACAGCTGAAGTCAAAATAACAGCCTCTTGGATAAGATGTGCTACTAACCCTTGGCAATCCATCTTCAGCAGAGCCTGTGGCAGAAATTATGTGTCAGAATTTAAATTGTTTTGTGTTTTCCTTTAAATTAATAATTTCACTACATATTCTAGAAATCAGAATTCTTTTTAAAGAAACACACACATATAACTTTATTTTCTAAAGCTCAAATTGTTGATTTACTGCTAAGCAAATTCAACAACCACTATAGAGGACATAACCAAATCAGAATTAGAAGAGATCAAGGACTAAATCAGTGACTAATTACGTGATCCTGAGTAAGCTGCTGAATCAATGTGTCTTAGTATCTTCAATTGTATGAGGAAGAGGGTAAGCCACACATTTCCAAAAATACTGAGGTTCCAACCATCCATAATCTGTCAGTTCAGGGTTGATTCACAAAAAATAATTTCTTACCTTACCAGAGGTTTAGTTACAGAATTTCTCTAAAGAGTGAAATCACTGGTGATGGTAAACATTTTATTTTTTCATTAAAATGTGATTTTTAACTTTCTAGAATTACCATGCATGAGGCCCTGGGTTCAATCTCCAGCATCTCCCCCACTACAAAAAATCTGAAACTTCTTATAATCATCCCTATTGCATAAAAATAAGACATTCCAACTTTAAACAAAACTATTAATGTTCATGAATTTTAAAACAACCAAAGGTCTCTCTCAGTACTAATGTAATTGTGTTAAATGTAAAACACAGGGTATTAAAGATAAAATGGTCTTGTAACTGGCCAAATGGAAAACCATCAGACTCTTTCTTTCTTTCTTTCTTTCTTTCTTTCTTTCTTTCTTTCTTTCTTTCTTTCTTTCTTTCTTTCTTTTTGGGTATCTTGAGCTTTTTCATTCACCAGGTATGTTTCAAACAAGTCTACAAGTTTCTGTTTTGTTTTGAATATATTTTTAGAAATGCAATTTTATTTATTTATTATCACTGCCAAATAAACAAATAAAAGTGTTTACCTGCTTCTCATTACTTAAGATTACTCAGAACCCTTATCTACCATTAGGATACAATAAAAAATGGATGACCAAGTTAGGCAACCATTGAAGTGCATAGAGTGTTTAGTCACATGGAAGTATATGATTAGAAGGACCAACCATGGTTTTTATACATAGACTGTACTGATCCATGCATTTTTGCTGAGCAGTTAGGGCCTCAGTGAGAAGCAATATTCATCCAGTGGGCTCCTGAAGGTGCTTTTAATAGATTATTCAATGGCATTACTATTGTCTAGTCCAGGTTCTTCTTTGAGCAAAAAGAAGTCACCACTTGAAGTCATAGAGCCTATGTTTAAAATAAATCTCCACAAGACTAAGACTTCAGATAAGTTACTCAATATCCCTTCTTAATGATTTTAAAATTGGATGTGGTGATAATACCACCCTGTCTAATTCTGCCTAATAAATAAATAGATTATATCAGATGCTGAAAGGCTTTACTGGGTGTCAAGTATGTAAGGTAAGCCACTTGTAAATTCTCAATTTGCCAGACTCCTCAAATTATTCTACAGTCCAAGAAAAATGCTTATTTACTACACAGATAAAATTTTTAAGAGATAACTCTACACCCTGTATTCAATCAACCCTCATCAGATGACTAGGCCTAAGCCTCCTCTATACAAAAGTCTCAAAGCCTTCACTAAAGCAGGACATGTGTTTTGGGGCCCTCTGGGGAACTAGTCTCTTAAATGGGCTTTCTACCATCATTTGCTGTCTACTCAGCCATTCATTATCATGTCCTCCAACAAATATAGGTATCATCAGGCCTAACTGTTCAGATATTGGGCTAATGTAATTGCTTTTCAAGCAGAGATAGCGGAAGAAAGCAAGTTTTGATCCAAATCTTGTGGATATATGCTGAACATGAGCTGTAAGAAGTAATGAGCTATTGCAAAATTCATGTGCAGCTTTTACAAGGTAAAGTATCTTCTAGTATTCAGTAGCCAATGGTCAAGTTAAGTGAAAATGCAGCACACTAAAATAAAATTATTCACTTACCAATTGGATAGTGGAACTCTTAAATTTTAACTCATCTTAGCATCATTGCATATTCATCAAAAACATTGAAGTATAGGAAATGTTTTTATGTATTTCTTTCTTTAATATATAAATTACTGTTAATGTCACAGATTAAAATCCTCCACCAATATATTTCCCTCCTTTTGCACTTTAATTAAAACTCCTCTTTATCTACCTCCTGTATAATCTCACTCCTCTCCTTTGTCCCTGGTTTTCAGTACTAGCTACTATTCAGGAAGTGTTAGCTATCATTTTCATTTATATGATCATATATTTATCATTTTTCAAGAAATATGCTCTTGATTTAAAAAAAGATTTTATAAATTATTGAATTTTAATTTTAATAACAAAAAATTCTTTATAATTCTCCTGTAAGTCTTCCACTGGTGTGATCATTTATCAGCTGAAAAAATTTTACCATAAAAATGCTATTAGAACATGAAGATTAAGAAGAAAATTAGCAATTTCATTGCTTGGTTGTGATACACTGCAAACAGAAGAAGAATTAAATTGTCACAGTACAGGACATTGGTAATATGTTTTTTGTTTTTTAAAAAAAAATAATGAAAAGCAGACCTCTAGCAATGGCCACTTTGGTTATGTTTAAGTTTGTTGTTATTTACTTTGAGGTTATACAGCTTCTCTGATTCTTTTAGGCCTGTCTAAATATTTGAGAGAGGAAGAGAAAACGTCTCCTTAGTTTTAGGTCCTGCACAAATGGAATCTTTAATCTTTCCTTAAAAAGATGATCTTTGGAGACCTATTATCAGAGGAAATCAAAACTGAATCACAAAAAAAATGCTGAATCACAAATCTATGTATCCAATTATAGGGTCTTGCAGGAAAAGCTCTGTATTTGCTTTAAAGTAGTTATAACTAACTAGTCATGATTTTTTAAAATTTCTCCTCTCATACATTTGGTTTGGTCAAGCTGATAAAGTTGTCTATGGCAAATAAATTACTATGATCAAGCAGTACTCACCACAATAAGTTCATAAAGAAACTTCCTTGTATTTCTATCAGCATGGCAATCTTCCTTTAACTTCTTTACAATATAAGAAACCCTTTCTGATTCTTTGTTCACTTGTATTCGATCAAAATCTTCCAGTGACAGATGTGAGTAACCCAGGACATCAGCTAAAACTTTCCAATCATACACTTTTTCTGACACCAAGGTCAATACAACTGAGTATATATAAGTCAGTTTTTTAAAGGGCAGCACAATTTGTTCAAGAAGATTTCTGGTTGTAAAGATATTGTCAGACCTAGACATTAATTGTTCTTTTGAAATCACCTTGACGTTTTTGCAGTGCACAAGTCCAATCTTACCTCTGAGAACTCCTACATACCATTCTTTCACTTTGGACTGCCCAATGGCTTTTACCTTACCTTCTCCAAGAAGGCCTATTGTGTCCCCTTTGAAATATTCAAGTAAGTAGTCAATCTTGATTTGTCTTAGCACTGTCTTCAGGCTCACCCCATAGTTGGTAAAGTTCAATTTTTTATCTTGGAATGTGGGATACTTAACAGGCAGTGTTGGCAATAAAGGAGCAGATTTGACTTCTTTCTCCTTCTTCAAATAACCTGGGAGATTTGAGAGCCTTTTTAAATTTGGAGCTGGATCAGGTGAAGTGATAAAGAACCATGCAACTGGTCTACTGTCAGGAGTATCCACCTGAACACGGAAAACAAACAAGTGCATTTCTTTGTGGTCAACCAAAGAAAATAAAAATGGATGATGAACTACTTCACCTGCTTCCAACTGATTTTGTTTAATTTCTTTCCCTTCTCCTTCTACCTTTACTTCAAAATCTGGATCACATGAAAAGACTGAAATGCTTAAATCTTGTGGCTTGTCAAGTAAAAATGAATGTTTTCCCCAGAGCTGAAATACAACGGGAGATATGTTTTTTCCACCCTTCTTAATATCAGAGACTATAAGTTTTCCTGGCATATAGCTGTGTCCACAGACAGTGAAAACAGCAGTGAAACTGGGGTGGATATATTTGGGTCCATAAATTCCAATTGAGGTAGTTTTGTGGATATAATCCCAAATGGTGGCAGCTGGTGACTGAATAGCTTTAGCTTGTGCAGCAATCACTAGATACATCACCTGACTGAAGTCCATTAGCTTCACTTGGATGGTGTCATTATAAATATAGCAGGTGTTTAACACTCTGAAAGGGCCTTCTTTTTCCAGGCTGTATAAACACACCATTTTTGTCATGACTTGGCTGAAAGGATCCTTTCTCACTTCAGCTCCAATTTTCATCTCCAGCAAAATAGCTTCCATTGTATTAAGGTTGCTTAACATGATTTCCAAAAGAGGACTTACAGTGCAAGAAAGATCATGATTGAGCATTTTTGGAGGATCCAGAAAAGCCCTTAATGAGACCTCTTGGAATTCTCCCACAGCTACGTGACCTTGGGGAACATGAACAGTGATATCCGATTCAGGTAACTGTACAGATCCTCCTTGGTGATTTAATTTACAAACTATGATGGTGTTTGCAACTTGGGTCTGGGCCCACCCAGGACTCTGATTAATTGTATTCAAATCCAAGCAGGAGCGGGCCAGCTGGCGTTGACTTAACCAAGCCATTTTATAAGCTTCTCTGTCATTTTGAAGCCATTCTAAGTCTTCTACTAGGATCTGGTCAGAGTTGTGAATACTGTCATGAGTATAGACAGCATCATCTAAAATGTCTAGAAGTTCTGGAACACTTTTAGATCTTCCTGATTTCTTTGAGGAGGAATGCCTGAGCAACTTGTGCACATCAAGTTCATCACCAGAGGAATCAAAAGAATTTCCGGTTTCTATTTCTCTTAAAAAAAGAAAGGGATCTTCCTTCAAGATGGAGACATTATCTCTCTTCTGGTTATTTCTTAGCTGAGTTATATCATCCAAAAATGGGTTAGAAGCAGACAGTTCATTCCAGAATGGATTCCTAGTTTGGGAAACATTATTATCATGAAGAGTGGAACCACCTGGCCAATTGTGAAGAAAACTTGGGTGTTGGCATTCTTGATATGTAAACAAAAACAAAGCAAAACAAAAATGAGGTGACAATCTATGAAACAACCCATTTTTCCCCAAAATGCAAAAATGCTAAAAATTTGAGACTTACTTTGCATTTTGCTTTGTGATCTTTAGTCTACTAATTACTTCAAACTTAATGTTAAATTTGGTCAATTTTGCATGTAATGAAGAAAGGGAAATTTTCTATGAGGTTATTATGACTGTAGATAAATTTATCATAAGACATGGTGAGTTATAAACTAAAATAAATGCTAAACACTTTAGACAATAACATATTTAATACATTTCCTGAAACTGACCTAGAGTAGCATGCGCTGATGTCTTATTAGTTAATGTTTTATTTCCCCAAAAGCAAACCTGTGAATGCTTCAATTATTTAGACTTTTCTAAATAATGATTAGTTTCATTATTTCAAGAATATTAATTTCATGTTTTCCTTTTCAGATAGTATTCAATATATGAGAAATAGCAAATACATCAATTGAAAAGCAATACACTAAATTAGCCAGTCATCATTGATTTCTTAGAATATTTTGGTAACTTTGTATTGATACATTTTAATTGAATTATTTGTGAAAAATAGCACTGAAATAATAGACTACAACTGGAACTACTTCTTGAAAGAATTCTTTGAATTCAGGCTTGGAAGGGCAAAAAATGGTCTTAACCACTAGAAATGGAAACATGTGAATACCTTGCAAAGTGAGTGTTTTAAGAATTAGATGCACATTAAAATATTCATGTTTCCACTATAAATATTTCTATATATTCCACAATGTTGTACCCATTTTTATGTTTAGAGTGACTCATATTTGGCCATTTCTCAGAAAATATTAGTAATAAGTCTGAGGGCTTTTTGAAACTGGTACTTTAGAGAAAATGGGCAACCAAATTGCTAAAGTTCTATAGAAAAAATGAATCAAGTAAACTGTCAGATATTTTTAATATTTTTAGAACTGCTATCTTGATTTAAACTAGTTTAAGTGTCACATATTAAATATTAGAAAATGCATTTTGAAAACATAAAGATAGTATTTCTCTTATTTTTACACTTGTCTTCATTCCAGTTATCCTAACTCTCTTGAAACTTTCTTTTTGCTCTGAGGATCTATTCAATTGTTTTCTGTTCCATGAATATTTCTTAGGCTGCTCCAAACCCAAGATGTCTCTTTTAGGTGTCCTTCATTCATATTTACTGCATCTATCACTCATTTATTATTTATTAATTATTTTTTTCCTCTATTATATTTATAGTAATTTGTTAGCGTGGTTTTTCTGTATATATCTTCAGTGACACTGCAACTATTTCTATAAAATTGAGATTTTAAACTTCTTTTAATTCCAATAAAGTTTTCTGAAGATAGACTTTCAGTGCTTAGTGGAATTGATTTGATTTATTTACATGAAAAAATTACAATAGTTACAAATTCATGTACCTGTAATATTGCATTTTTTGGAGAGTTTTGGGGGTTCCATGTCAACCAAATTTCCTTCAGATCTACTTCATCTAATTCTTCCTGACAAAAAGTGGGCTTTTTCACTGCTTAGCATTGTCCCACCTATAATGTAAACAGATACACATTTTTCATAAGTGTATGTAATCATGTACAAGTTGACAGAGGGGAAAAAACTCAAAATGACCACACATACTTAAATAGAAAGTTGCATGTAAAAATATTCCATACAATTTCTTTACTTCTGGTAGGATGCTGAACTATCCTGAAATAAGCATTAGGTCTCCTTTAAAAACTCCTCAGATTCTGGATTGATACCATCAAATAAACTTAAAAATTCATTACTGCCCCTATAAAAATAATGAAAATTCCAAGAACAAAACAAGTAAGTGGAAACCTCAATAAATGGATATTTTCTGTTTGATGATTGGAAGACAGTACTGCAAATCTGAAAATTCTCATCCAAATGCTTCTATATATGCAATGCAAATCTAAGAAAAACTACGTGATATATACGTATGTGTATATCTGTAACTGCTTGTTTTTCAGGTAAAAATTTTATTTTTAAATGGCAACTCAAATTGTATATATTTACTGTATACCACATGTTGTTTTGAAGCATGTTTGTCTTGTTTATAAATGCTTAAGTTTTTACATATTTTATGTAGAAGATCAAGGGCAAATATTTAAGATAATTTAGAAAAAGAACGTGATGGAAGTAATATGTGCTACCTACCAGATATCAGCATTAATTATACATATGAACTAAGTAAGATATTGTGGAGTTGCAACAGAAATAGACCAAGGGGCACAAAACTGAGACCTCAGGAACAGACACTCATATGGAAACTCCATGAGTGGCAGGGGCAAAGCAGAGCAATGTGAAAGTGACGAACCATTCCTTAAACAGTGATGGAATTACTGGTTCCACCAGCTGAAGAAAATTGCACATGCATGCACACACATGTGAGCGAGCACACACACACACACACAAGAAAACAAATAAAAAACAATTCCAAGATGATTAAAGACTTAGGAAAAAAACCCTTAAAATTTGAAAAGAACATCTGAGAGTATGTTTTCTGAAAAGCAGTGTTTCTTAAACAAGGCAGACACACAAAATGGATACCACAAAATATTAAAATGATAAATCAATCCTATATATCCAAAACATCATTTACAAAAAGTAAGAATACAAGCCAAATACTGGGAGAACTTATTTCCAAAGCATATGACTAAAAAAGGAAAATAATTGGATTTAAGATATATGAGACTCCTGTAAATCAATAAATAAAAACAACACTATAGACACTTTTGAAATAAGATATAGACAAGCATCTCCCCAAAGGGAAACATAAATGAACCCTCGGTATATTTAAATATGATCTATCTCGCTGGTAATTAGGCAAACAGATGAAGCACAATTACCACTTACTGAATTTGCAAAAATTAACAGTCCAATTACAAATAAAAATGTGGAGCAAAAGGAAATCTTATATACTCCTAGTGAAAGTATGAAAAGGTCCAATCATTTGGAAATCTATCTGGCATTATCTAGAAAAGAGCAGTACCCAGAAAATTTAATTCTGGTTATTTGATTTAGAAAAACCTTGCATATGTGCATCAAAAGAGATATAAACATGAATCTTCACTATATCATTTTAATAACAACTCAAATCAATCAAAATATACTTATCATATAAATGGATAAATTGTGGTATTTTGATACAACAGTGTTCTATTCAACTATGGAAACAGCTGAATTACAACTAAAAGTAAGAACATCTGCTAGATATGTGTTCCATTTGCTGAGACTTAGCCTTATTTTCATAAAGGATTTCTCTTAGTCCCATGACAACATTGAAAAAATAGATATTTAAGATCTGATTTCCAGCATGAAAAACAAATCTCAGTAAAGAGATACAACTAAATTGTAAAGGCCAAAGAGTGATTTACCCAAAAGAAGTTTAATTTTTATTTTTAAGAGAAATCAAATGCCTTTTCTGATACATAAGAAAGGGAGAATATGTTTTTAAGAAAGAAAATAAAGTGGGGAGGAAAGGAAAGTTGAGTGGGAAAAAAAACGAATGGAAGGGGGAGTATGTTTCCAGATATGACGAGTAAATAAGTGTAAAAATTATAAGGTGACATAAAAACTCAAATGGTGCAGTAATAATTGTTTTTCCTTTCACAGGGGAAACTACATTGGAAGATTGAGTGAACAGTTGAATTATGCAATATGCAAATTGTACTGAGACCTAAAGTTTCCTGGCAGCTCTTTAAAACTTCTGTGGTTGATTCTTACCAAATACGAGGTTCAAAATTAAAAGTCCTGAGCACACGAGAGGTAGTTAAAACTTTGAGGTAGGAAAACTGAGCTCCAGTCCTTCAGCAAAATTTAGCAAATCAAATTAAATTGAGTGAAACATATTAACACGGAAAAGTGTTTTCAAAAAGATAAAGCACCCTTTAAATGAAAAACCAATTTAGCAATCTACATAAAGTTTTTCAAATCTGTGTGGAAAGAGCAACAATGAACAATTTATGCCCAGTATTTCCTTGAAGCAAATAACCCTGTATGTAAAAAATAGTTGTAATCCAGCGAAATAAAGTTAAAATTTCTCAACCACCTAAAACCCAGGAAAAATTCTCTTTGCAGCTATGACCCTGCAGGGTCAACACATTTCAGAGACAAAGGCACTTGCGGCAGTTCTTTGTGGAGCTGTCCTTTTGTCCTGTCACCCAGCAGATCGTTGTCCATTAAGGGAGTGTTGTAAACCTGTGCCAGAACCACTTGGGGGGTTTAATTAAACACAGCCTGCTGGGCCTCACCCAGTGATTCTGATCCAAAAGGTCTGGGGTGGCGTTCAAACTTACATTTCTAACAAAGTTGCCAAATGATGTTCATGCTGTGGTCACGTGCTGAGAACCACATTCTATAAACTTTTATTATATATTCCCAGGTTTCTCCCACTATACTTCATCAACTCCTCACAATCTTTCTGTACATGCACATGGACAGAACACATTACCTTACATCCTGAATCTGGATTGACTGACTGACTGGTTGATTGACTGATTTTCTGTGGACACGGAGTGGCAGTACAGGAAGAAAATTTCTGGACAGGAGGGACAAAGAATGAGAACTCTGACCTGTAGGGGTCAGTGTTTGTTTACACAGGTGCAAAAAGCACCAGCCACAGTCACCTCCCTGGGTTTCCTTCCAATTACACTGGATGCCAATTGTGTCCTAAACAAGATTTTTCAAAAAAAAAAAACTTTGTCTAGAGAAGCATGAGTCAGTCTTTATATTTGGAATGAGTAAAAAGAAAAAGAGCAATCTGCTATCCATTTTCTTTGCAGTATAAATTTTACTTACTCTGATTTTGTATGATTCATTATTTTCTTCTTCAAAGAAACTTTCATTTATCTTACTGTTCATGCCTTGTGCAACCGGGGAAATTTACCAATTATAAAACTTTTAAAAGTTCTCAGAAGGTCCTTTTGTGTGGGGAAAAGGAGTGAAAGAGGTTGTGGTGTTTGGAAATAAAAACCAGGGAAACAATGCCATTGAAAATAACTTGGAAAACATGTCTGTCAAAGTGTTTACATTAGTTTTTATGCAATGAAACTTGCTATTATTAGCCATTAGTTGGCTCAATGTATTTTGCAGCTAGTCCTTAAGTATCTCAAACTGCTATGATTTTTATGAATCTGTACTGTACTTAACTCTTTCCAAGATCTGTACTGCATTTTTGACCTATGTGATATTATAATATATTCATGGTGGTTGTAACTTTTGTAGGTGACATCAAATACTGAAGTGGTCAGGAGGGCGATTGATGGACAAGTAATAATAGACTTTTGCTTTATCCCCAAATGCCAGGTCCATCTAAATAATATTACAATACTTTGTAACTGTAACTCGTATAAGGACTGAATGGCTCCTAAAGGGATGACAATCGGCAGTGATACTCACAATATTATTGGACGTTGCCATTGTTTGTGTGGTCTTACTAGATGTCACCCCTAGGACACTTTCTGATGAGCTACTGACACCCTATGATTGATAGTGTGTTTATCCTAATACCAGTTATTAAGTAGTTTGAGTGTTTATTACCTCTGATCATCCTAGCTAAATATTTCAGACTTGATGCCCAGCATGACAAATTTCAGCTGACACTTTCCCTAAGGAAAATGGCTTTATAGGATTTTTCAGGGAGGGCTTCAAGGAGCCTGATCCACTAAATATGACCAAACATTTCGATGATGCCTTTAACCCTGGTACCTCAACATAATTTTATCAATACATCATTTTGTTAACATTACCACATCAAGATGTCTATCATTTCTTTACATTTTATTAACTTTCCATCACTGACAGAACTAATGTCCAGAAAAGTTATAAAAATTGTACAACATAGCCTCTCATTAGTGAGCACAAATCAGAAAAAGAAACAGTAGGTCAGAAACTGCTGTATGTGCAGCTTAAAGATGTGGCAAAAAACATCACCAGAAACTTGAATCTGGAAGGAAAAGTATAAAGGACTCTCACCTAAACTAAAAGAAAAATATCAGACTTCTACAAAATATAAATAAGAATAGTAAGAGCTATTAATTTTAAGAGCTTGATGCATTCTTGGTGCCATGCATGGATATGCTGATTTAATTACTTGCAACAATTCTATCATTAGCTCCAGTTTAAAGATAGAGAAATCGAGGCTTAGGGATGTTATGTGTCCAAGAGTAAAAGCTATTAATTACTGCAAAGTATTGTAGTGGAGGCAAAGTTTAAACTTCCGGATACTGAGGGCTAGAAAGTATTAGAAATCTACACTATGTTTCCTACCTATAGGCCAGAACTTCTCTTCCAAAAAGGAAGTGAAACTATGCCCTGGGTTTTTGTTTTTGTTTTTCTTTTTGCTAAAGATGCCTCATTTCTTTTTCTAATATGGAACGCTTCATAAATGTGTATGTCATCCTTGCCCAGGGACCATGTTAATCTTCTCTGTATGATTCCAATTTTAGTATATGTGCTGCCAAAGCGAGCACATGAAATGCCACAATCTTGATCTCAGAAAATCTCCCAAATTCAGCAGGACCTAAACTTTGGGCATGTGACTTGTATCTGTGACCCACTCTCAGAAGGGCCCCTGTTTGGTGTGGTGTTCTGCTGAAACATTTAATGTATTTTGGATGAAGGAACCCATATTTTCATTTTGCATCACACATACCAAATTGTGTTATTATCCTGGTTCACAGCATTGATAGACTTCACCCTTTAGAACCAAAGAAACAGCTGAAATTACAGGAGGCCCTGAAAAAAGGAGAAAAGCATTATTTCAGATAAAGAATGTTTTGTGGATGATGAAACAAAGCTGCAGAGAGAATAACTGAGTTGCCTAATGTTCAAGATCATCTATGTCAGATTTCAGAATTAAATTGTCATCATCTGATTTGAAATTCTGTAAGAAAGAAGTATATGAGAACAATTTACCCATATCTATAAATTACGAAATGAGATTCTTCTACACTCTGATGCTATATAATGATAAAAGCAATGACCTTAGATGTTAAGACTTTAAAGCAAATGTGATAAAGGTTTGATCCTAGCATTCAATGAGAGCAAACTACACTGGTCCTCAGCTCTGTGGTCCTTATCACACAGGGATTCTTTGAATACGATGTACACCTAAGGCAAGAGAGAATGGAGTCCAGTGGCAATGGCAATCCTGCTTGTTTTGTCCTTACCGCATGCTTATAGCATTTTGTTGTTCATCTCATCAGCATTTAACAAATGGGGAAGACTTCTTCTGAAAGTTCAGAGTGTAGTCCACAAAGATAGTAGTATTTAAGAGAACACTGTAGACCCCATATATGTGTGTGTAAATATGTATATATGTAAATATATGTAGATCAATAATCTTTAATATTAGCCTATGCATATATAATTATTGGTAGACAAATTTTTAACTTGAATTTCCTTCAGTATGTTAATTTCATGCATATGCATAGGTCTATACACATACATTCACACACACACTTCCTTAGTTTAAAAAGAATTTGAGAATACTTATCATTTTTCTGATAACATGAGTTTAAAAGTGGATTTTATTCATTGGGAAAAAAGGTAAAAGCAAAACAAGTAGTGAATAAATTATAGGCTCACGTTTTCAGAAAGTTGGTAGGAAGATGAAAATAAAAGTAATTTCACAAACAACATGTTGTAAATTCCAGGACACTTACTAGCATTGAGCCATGAGTTTGGCACTCTACTTTCCAAAAGCAACCACAGTTAGGAAATATTATTAGTTACAAGCTGCCCTGTGACCATATGCAACAAATAAACCATTTAGCAGAAGCACAGCATTGCCAGGAATGGAGAGGAGTGAAAAGGATTATGCAACTCCAGGGAACATCCTAGCCCCATCCCTTACAGTAGGGTCAGGGGTAAATCCCTTCCGTGTCTTGATGTCATCCCACCCAAGGGCAATTCTGTCAAATCAAATGGGCAGCAGTGGGTCCAAGTAAGCAGCTATCTGCCTCTCTGACCTAATAAAAGAATACATGTCAAGTGAATCCCCAAAACGACAGGAAAGGCCTCTTGGTCTAGGAAAGTTCACTAGACTTAGCTCCACTCAACTGAATTCACTGCCACTTTTTAAGCCAACTCACTTAGCGATTCTAACCCTAAGATCCAGAGTGGCTCTTTCTCTTGAAGAGCCAATCAGCTAAGTTAAAGATGAGAGTCACCTTCTCTTGGGAAAATTAAGATAAATAACTGAAATGTTTAGCAGACCATTCTACCTCTGTATATTTTACTATGATATAGGCAGCAATTTTTCCAGGCCATACAGCAAAGATTTTAGTAACTTCTTAATGGAGTACATTTAATGAGTTTGTTATCAGATCCCCATTGCTGCCATAAACTCTTCCCAGTGATGTGTCTCTCCAACATTAACTTTAAGTAACAGATGTTCCTAGCAAACTCTTGGAAATAAATTAGTGGCAGAACCTGTCCCTGGTAACTGAACAAGTTTAATTGTTCAGTGAGTTGTTGGCTATGACTTTTGTTGTGTAATGATTGACCCTATTTTTTCTCCTGCACCCTTCAATGCAAGAGGAGGTTTCTGGGTTGTATTATTCAAAAGGTACAAAGGTTAATTCCTGACTCAGAAGAGCTGGAACCAGAGGGTTTCCAGGGTAGCTAAGGAAGTTGATCCCATGAGGCCCTCAATTTCCAAGGGATTATGCCTAATTTTTATTTGTTTTCTTACACACTTCCACTCTGAAAAACTCCATTGCTTTAAAGAATTCCTGACAGTAGGGGCCGGGGATTGAGCTCAGTGGTTCCAGCGCCTGCCTCACAAGTGCAAGGTCCTGAGTTCAATCCCCAGAACCAAAAAAAAAAAAAGAATTCCTGACAGCAAATCACCGGCTCTCACTTGTCCCTGACCTGTAATATTTTTACTTCTTTTTTTCTTCTTCTAGGTAAACACATTTTGGTTAAGTACAAAGCCTTTGGAGTCAGAATTGTCATGTTTCAGACTTGTGAGTATAAACTTGGGAAAGTTAGTAAACATTTCTGGGACTCTGCTTATCATCTGAAAAAAAATGAAATAAAATAAAAATATTATTATTAATATGAATAATCCCACCATCTTCATCATGTTCCTGTAAGTATCAAATGAAATACTATGTAAAAGTGGCATGACAAAGTGATTGCCTCTATCTTCCTCAGATCCTTCCCCTGATTATTCAGAGACAAAGCTGGGAAATGATTTTGCCAGCTGAGCCCATGCCAGAGGTTTCTTCTGACTAAGACGGCTTGAGACCCCAGTTGCACCTCCTTGCTCCATAAAGAACAAAAGTGACCACCAACAAGTTGACCTTATTTCTTATTCTTCACTCCTCACAGAAAATTTTACCATCAATTGCCGTGACTCCTGCCAAAGAGAGTCCCTGGACAACAAAGACACTGGGATCCAGTAGAAAGAATGTTGCCTTGACTCTAAACAGATAAAATTTCAGAGCAACACTTAGACTTGAATTCATGGGTTTGAGCATCATTTTTCTAACCTAATCCATAAAAGGATAAAATAGGCTTCAAAAAGTTATAATGTATGAAAATTGTACCTCAATAGTTTTTTTTGAAAAAAAAATTAAGATTAAATTAAATATCATAAACCTCCCTATCAGTCCTGTGCAATAGAATGTAATGGTTTTCAGCCAACCCTGGCCCCAAGTCTGCTGTATGGACTTAATTATAACATCTCAATGTTCATCTCAATGTTTTACTCTTTTGGCAAGTATGTGTTTATACCCATGGTTTTATTGTGGATGGATAGAAAGATGATAGATAGATATAGGTAGATATGTGAAGCTATATGTACAGGATAACTTTAATTTTAATATTTAAATTATAATTAAATTTAAATAATTAAATTGATTATATTTTGTACTCTACTTTTAGCTGTTAAATTATAATAGACCAGCAAATTAAACACAAAAGAAACACCCAGAGCACAGTTAGAATTGCCCATATTGTGCCTATTCCATAAATTCAACTTAAAAACTGGACCCATCCTTTAACAGCCTAAAGTGACTGCCATACCTTGTACCTTTCCAAGAAGAAACTCTTTCTACTCATTCCCTGTTCATTTAAAGCAGGCAGAATACTCAAAGTCAGGAGTTGCTTTTCCCTCTGCTGAGACCCCCATGCTGCTCTGCAGCAGCTGGTGGGTTCCTTACGATTGGCTGGGGAAACTGGAAGGAGGCTCAGAGTTGTACCCACAGCACCACCTGGTGTCAGGTCAGGATCTTCCTGGACAGCCCTGCTGGAGCTTTCCTTGCTTTGCTCCCTCTGACCATTCATTCTAACCACTTAAGTATAAAATGGTGGTTCTCAATTGTTCCTCTGCATCAAAACCAACTTTCAAGATACTCAGAAATCATCTCAAATGTCTATGATAGATCCAAGCATTATTTTTATAAAAATTTCACAGTAGATTCTGACACACAAAACAATTCAGTTACTAAACCATAATTATGAAGTGATGACAATATGTGTATTTTACTTTGTTTTGTTTTCTTTTATAACAAGCATGTTACTGGACATGATAAAATGCATGACAGCTCAAGATGCCTATCTTTGCAAGGCAATTCTGGCAAAAACACTTCTAGGGACATTGTGGGAGAATAGGATTTGAGTATCATTAAGGAACACTCAATCTCTCTTTTCCCTGTGGCATGGTTCTTCCTGGTATAGCCTAAGGATCATGGCTAAGACTAGATCTGCTCAAAGCTTTAGGGACAAATTCTCTCTCTCTCTCTCTCATCTCTTTCTCTATGCTTGGTTGGTATTCACGTCTCCTTACCTTTCCTTTATCTTAGAAATGTAAAATCTACATGAAAATGATTTTGAATATTTAGGTAACTAAATTCTGCTTTTAATATAATCTTTTGCTTTGTCTATAACTTAGGCAAAATATTCTCTTGTGCTCCAGTTAGAATTTTCTAGTTCACCAAAAAAAGTGCACTGGGGATGGAGCCTGTTTCAGCTATTCATAAAAATATGTTTTTGCCTAGCATTATTCACTTCACAAACCTAGGGCATTAATAGACAATCTGATGCCATGTCCTAGCCACATCCCATCTTGGTCCAAACAACCAGTAGACTCTATATGCAGTGTAGTCATTCCAGATAAGCTGCCATTAGCTGTTTTAGAACTGACTAGGATGGCTGAACTGACTAGATTGATATGATGGAGAAATGATCTTTAAAAGTGGTACTGAAGGAACTCTACACTCTTGAGGCACAGTTGCATCAAACAAGCACATCTCTAACAAGAATGACTACTTGCCTTTGCATATGTAGATTCCATATGCTTATTTTTTAAATTGGTTCAGGTGTGTGATTTCAAAGAAGTCAGTTGACAAATGGTCAGATGGATAAATAAGCAGCATGGCATTCAGCAAATAAAGAATAATTTCTCAAAGACGCCTGAGTTATCTTCGGAGCCCAATACTTGGCATAACTCATAAAATAAATTCTGAATAATACAGGTAGAATAACTAAAATTAAATGAGACTGCACACATGTAATATGCATCTAGAGATAAAAGAGAATCAACAGGACTTCTCAGGAAGCAAGATGGCAGCTCATTTGTAACAATCATGTTGAGACTTCCCCTATCAGCATCTGGCAGAGCTTCACATATTTCAAGGAAGGAATGTGAAATCACTTGAAAACTTTGAGGTTACAATACAATGAAACTACATGTTTAAATTCAAGTGTGAGAGAGAAAATTTAGAATA